CATTGCTTGTTGCCGTGCTTGAAGATGTCATTCTTGAATCAGGTAGAATTGCTTGAACAAGCTACCAGGTAATGGATGAAAGCTGTTGGACATACACAGAATATTGCAAATCAATTACGATATTTCACCAAATACAACAGCCAATCAACTTCTGGCATTTTGATGTTTGGAGCATCAAGCATATAATGCAGAAAATCTGATGCAAAGACTATAGAAAATCTGTTGCAAAGAGTGCAGAAAATTTGTTGCAAAGGGTGAAAAAAATCTGTTGCAAGTAGTACAGAAAATCTGATGCAAATAGTGCAGAAATTAATTCAAAGAGTGCAGAAATTCTGTTGCAAAGAGTGCAGAAATTCTGTTGCAAAGAGTGCAGAAATTCTGTTGCCAGTAGTGCAGAAATTCTGATGCAAGTAGTGCAGAAAATCTGTTGCAAAGAGTGCAGAAAATATGTTGCAAAGAGTGCAGAAATTCTGTTGCAAATAGTGCAGAAAATCTGATGCAAATAGTGCAGAAATTAATTCAAAGAGTGCAGAAATTCTGTTGCAAAGAGTGCAGAAATTCTGTTGCAAAGAGTGCAGAAATTCTGTTGCAAATAGTGCAGAAAATCTGATGCAAATAGTGCAGAAATTAATTCAAAGAGTGCAGAAAATCTGATGCAAACAGTGCAGAAAATATGTTGCAAAGAGTGCAGAAATTCTAGTACTTCTGTCTAACAAACCATGTCTAGATATCAAAGACACATTTCCTGCAAAATATGACATACTCATTAGACATACAACAGCAAAATATTCATTATTTGAAATTGAAGCAAAAATCTAAGACAAATTTTGATTCACAACAGAACAAGAAAGAGAAGTAAGTTTCAATGCATAGCAAAAGCTATTTTCTGCTTGGAATAAAAGCAATACAAGGTGCACAACATTTTTGGGACTATTTATCCCCTAATGAAATACATGGAGTTCATATGACTGACCTTTTAAATATCCAAGACACATATTGTTGAAGAAAATGGCCAGATGAACTTGTTCATTGATTCAATAAACAGACTTGTCAAGAAATTAGATTATGCATGATCACTACCAAATTGCCATTAATTAGCTCCATCTCATTAAGCTGGTATGGAGATCAAATATGATGTTTTACTCATTTGCATTCATGAGAAAGTGGAGATTGAGAGAACCATCCAAACAATCAGATATGCGTTTGCATCCAAGGGGCCTCACGTATAAAATTATTTTCTTAATTTTAACTTCCTATGTTTGTGCCTTGTGCTGCAAATAGGGGATATCATAAAGTTAAACAGCTAACTCGAAAATCCTTTCTAAGATTCTTTAACAATGTAGATCCTTTGATCGGTTGAATTCACTAGGTTCAATGGTGCTTAATGGTAACTTCTTTCTTTTTTGGCATTTTCTCAAACAGATGGAGGGTGGGGAGGTGTGTGTGACAGATTTGCTTGAAGAAGAAAGAGGGAGCCAATTTCAACATCAAAATTCGAATTTCAACATCAAATTTCAACGCTAATGAAAGGTTCTGTCCAAAAAAAAAAAAAAAGAAGACAAAGAGAACGAAGGAACAATTTGAATTTGATTTGACCCATCTAAATGAAAATTCTTAACACAGAGAGAAAGAAGGAAAATACATTGCCTATAGTCGGAGCTGCCTGAAGTCGGAGCTGCCTAAGGTCGTTGGAGTTGCCTGAAGTTGCCCAGATCTGCTGCACCACGCAAGGATTTGCTGTTGAAGTCTAATGAAGAAGAAGGTGTTTCAGACCTGGTAAGGGGAAATAAAAAGGGAGGGGTCTGATACTGATTTGCCTGGATCAATACGACGTAATTTTGATAAGGGAGGGAAAAAAAAAGAAGCAAAAACAAAGAACAAAACTGTGCCGTTTCATTAAACCGCAAGACATGCGGTAAGTCACTCACCGCAGACGAGCTGCACCCGAGGAGAGAGAGAGGCGGGGGAGAGACCAAAGAGCGTTGCTTTTGGTCTCACATATTACATAGCAAAGTTCATTGTCCACCCAATGGTGGTATGGTTTGTTTATTAACCCGATCCGGCTCTGCATCAGGACCCGGGTCATTTTCTTGTACATTATATGATCACCTTTACTACGGTACCAACTGTTAAAAAACCTACTGTTTTTAGGCTTGTTACATTTTTTAAGAGTAGGGTGACCTCGTAGTACTAGCACACGCAATTAGGGATATTAATACGGATACAACATTTAAATTTTGGCATACTTAAGCTCGACTCGAGTTTAATATCCATTTACGCAAACGCGACTCAACTTCTTGTCTTATTATAGGCTCGAATTCATGCTCAAACTCGTGTATGGGAGAAACAACATAAATCTTAGAAACAAATGTTTAATGTGATACAAACTCACAAATTCTTGAAAAAGTCGAAAATAAAACACATTTCATAAAACAATTCGCGTGAAATTCCTAATTCCTCGATCATTAGTATTGTAACAATTAGTGACTAGGTTTACATGCTTTGACATTCTTCATCAACCCAAAAGCATGTATTAGAAACCATTAGTGGTTGAGAATTGCATGTACCAAAGAAGTAATCATCGGCATTGAAACGGATATTGCCCTGCAGTGTTTTATTCAGCACAGAAACATTAGATGGTAATNCTAGATATCAAAGACACATTTCCTGCAAAATATGACATACTCATTAGACATACAACAGCAAAATATTCATTATTTGAAATTGAAGCAAAAATCTAAGACAAATTTTGATTCACAACAGAACAAGAAAGAGAAGTAAGTTTCAATGCATAGCAAAAGCTATTTTCTGCTTGGAATAAAAGCAATACAAGGTGCACAACATTTTTGGGACTATTTATCCCCTAATGAAATACATGGAGTTCATATGACTGACCTTTTAAATATCCAAGACACATATTGTTGAAGAAAATGGCCAGATGAACTTGTTCATTGATTCAATAAACAGACTTGTCAAGAAA